AAGCAGGAAACAAACATGATCTGAACGACTATTTGTCCAAAAGAGAAGTTGAGGTTAATTCTAAGATACTTCACTTCTCATACGGCCACAGAATTGGTGAAATTGTCGGAGATAAAGACGAACTTGAGATACGGAGCAATCTGAGTGTAATGTCTGACACTCAACGAGACATCATCTCCAGCATCTCGCAGTAACTGAACAACTTCATCATGCGTTTTGCCATCCACCAATTGACCGTTCACCTCAACTATCGCATCACCGACATACAGTAAACCACTTTGCTCAGCTGAAACACAACTCTAGCTTCATTCCAACCATATCTACACATGAAATAAGTACAAAATCATTTGTTTCGTAATTTAATGATTCCAAATTGATTGCCGAATAGCATTCAAAGTACTCAAAACTTATGCAACTCTCCCCCACCATGTTCCCTGAGCAACCACTATGAAAGAGAGCTATGCGATGAGTTGTCTCAAAATGTGAGATAAATCAACAAATCGAAAAATCCGACTTTAATACCTGGCATGTTCGGAAATATTTTCGAAATGAGGACTGGTAATTGCTGATTGCCATCGTTGCCACCCTATAAGACAAAGTTCAAAACTGATGCATCAGTAAATTGAAAAGTGCATGAATGACACAAACACAGCTAAACCACTAATAACAGAAGTCTTAAAAAAGTTAATTAGAAAAAGATCACAGAAAAAGGGTTTCCTCTTTTGATTGAACTCTACGATGAGAGTCACTTAGCAACGCCATTATAATACACACATAACGGTGAAGCAGGTATAGCAATAGACAAAAATTAAAATCGAGCAAACGATTGTTGCATCGCAAGTCTTGACCAACCTTAATTGACAGTCCAAGACCACCTTCTTTACGTTTTCGAAGTCGGACAATTCTCATTCCACCATCTGGCGGCTCCACGCTTGATAGTTTCACATCTTCACCATCAGATCCCCCGGCTGTTATTTGTATTGTGAGTAAATCTGTAAGGCAGATGATTTGATTCATGCTTCATGCTCAGTTGATTGTAAACAAAGGTTCTCTGCATTTTTTTCTCTTGTCAGACTGACAGCTCTGTTGACTTCACCCGACACGCATAATTTCATTTTGAAATGTTGGTGGTGACTCAACTAGATCGCATTTTTTCTTTGTTTGATCGCAGTTTGCAAATGCTGCCACAATGCACTGGCGATATGCGATTGAAACAAGCAGGCACCAACAATTTTTGTGCTCTCTCTTTGGGTATTCTGATTAGTTCCTCATCTGATTCACAATTCAATTCGCTCACGATTCCATTTGATTTCTGATTCATTACTTGCGTTTGCTCAAATACTTCCGTCGAAACTCTATGAAATCATGCACTCAGCGATTTAGGTACATCGCAGTGCGTTTTACTTCACAGTGAATCTCATTTTGATACAGTTAATCTCTTGTTGTGGAAAACAAGATAATGTGATTTGAACCTTTCGTGAGCTCGAGCCTGGCTGGACGTCCACGTCCTTTGCCATCACTGAGCAACACCATTCCATGATGCACCTGAAAAGTTAGAATCGTCGATTGAATAATATCTCTCAGCATGTAGTTCACTGAGAGGATACGGAAGTATGTTTCAGTGGTCAAATACCATTCAACTAGGTAATACGTGAGCATCTTACTATTAGTTCGCTTTGAAATGACCATTTGGTTATTTTGCTATCATGCAATGAACAGTCGTGACGAAATTATTGACATCCCAATGGGAACAAACTAATTTGTTGTCAACTGATTATATGAAAGCGCAAACGCTTTGTGTTTGTTGATATTTTGATTCGCTGTTGATATTTTCGGATCGCATTTTTTTACTTAATGCCGCATTAATCCCGATTTTCAAGCAAAAATTTTGTGAACCATTGCAAAATTGCGAATAACAATTTTCAATAAAACAGTACTGGTGAAAAATTATTCGTGCGACTTTGCTACGGTTACATCCCATAAGAGATGAATGGTATAAACGACTCATGACGCAATTTGAAAGCGGCCAAGAGAATGGTCAGGAGAAGCCATTTCGATAGAGAACCTACCACATCCAGATGCCTCGATCGAGATCTGTGCTGTTGTGGATGATCACTTGTTTTCGATGCACTCCTTGAGCCAGCCAGTTTGATCACTTACCTGAACGCAGTTGATCACTTTGAATTAAAGTCATCATTCGAAAAAAAATCGAAACATAACATTTTTTCTCGCAATTGCACTCAAATTTTTAAATGTTGGAAAAAACTGTTGAGAAGGATTTCATCGTTTGAGTCTTTCTTTGCACCAATGATTCACTGGTGACAGTTTTAACGCCGCCATGTTTGTAGGATTTTAAACACGTATGAGAATGTGAGCAAATATGAGTGGTAATGCGATGATTCAAGATGTGCCCAACTCAATCAGAAACTGAAATATGGCGAGAATTGAAAATAAAACAATGCAGTGAAGGTGTCAGCAAGCAAGCCAACGCCGTAAGGAATGTTTATAGTAAATTGAGCCGATTGTACAATTGGATGGTGATGGCGATGAAGATCATATGCTTATAATATAATGGAAAATGATGCGGCAGCAGCAGCAGCAGCACGTAACAACGTTAAAACGTTCAAAATCATCATCGGTTGAGTGTAATAATGTTGAGGAAGGATGCAAGCCGCTGGCCAACAGCTTAACACGTTCTGAATTTATTCAGTCAGTCAGTCAGTCAGTCCATTCATTGTTGGCTGACGATTTTACATTTTAAGCTTTGATTGACGATTCGAGCAGCTGAGGAGCTGTGTGAGCTGATGAACACTATGCTGCTGCTGCTATACACTCTCAGAATGAAGATGATGCATTGAAGAGCGATTTTATTGCGTTGATTACATCATAATGGAGTAATGGCATTAGCATTCGGGCAATTTACATTGATCATACTAGTTGGTGAGATTGTGAAAATCGCACTTAGAAGTTAGCAAGGAATCGAGTATTTTGCGATGGCATCTTTCAGGGATGGATTTCAATAGCGCTAGATTTCGCAAAGTATCTAACAATAAGCGCTGGATTAGCTTATTCGGATCATTCTTCTTAAGAATTTGTAGATGTTTCCCTGGCATGTTACAGTCATAGCATCATCGATGAAATGAAATCAATCATGATGATAGCGTTCCGGATATCATTCTCAAGTTGACCGCTCTGTGATCGTATCACAGCAGATATTGTCTGGATGAAATCTAATCTCTGAATCCATAAGGCCAGCAGGGAATCGTTGCAAAGTTAAATGGTACTCCAGAATTCGCTGAAACTTAACCTGTGAAGATCGGAAGAATCAGACTGAAGCTTTTCTGAATTAAACGATATCCTTATTGGGATGAAGATCATAAAAATATCACGAAATAATCTTTATTGGAATGAACTCACTATGTCCACCATTGTGCATTGATACTTTTTCGTTTGCAGATTTTTTTGCAGCTTTTTGCGCTTCATCGCTTACAACTTTTTTTCAAAACGTTTGTATGGTTCATTTTCTTTTTGCTGTTCGATTTCACTGATGCGGATCAGTCATTTAGAATTATCTAAATTGAGAACTGAATAAATATTTCACATAAATGCTTCCCTCAACATTCGGAAACAAGTGTCCGTGCATCTGATTCCATTCGAAGGATCCTAAAAGTGAGCAACATAACATACTGATTTGAGAATATTAACACGATGCACTTACATGTCCTTGGATTCTGAAGTGGTCGAATACAATGATATTTATTCAGCAATTTCTCATCCACTACTTCTTCGCACTGAAGCATATTGTGTTTGACTATTCTTAGTTTTGATCTTCAGAAGATCATTCAGAAATTATTTGAAATCAACGTTTTGCCTGATATATTGTGGCTAACATGAGTTTTCACCATTTTCATCACTTCAAACCCCTTAGTGCCTCTATAAAAGCCATATAAAGAAACTCATTGCGGTACGGTACTTCAAAGCGAGAATTCAGGATCACCGATATTTCGAAAATGAAGCTGTTCGATGGTTGATCAGTGAGTGTGAGATTGTGATAAGCATTTCAGAAACTGCGATATTAGATTATCCTTAAAAATACCATTAAACAGTCGTTTCGGCATTTATTTTGTAATAAGACTGTTTTATATTATCGAAACACAAAGCATTCATATCATACAAACACAAAAGGGGGGAGATCCTCCAAGTAAGATATACGAAAGCTACATTTCATCATCCGAATCGATAGTGCATCATATCCGTATACATCTTATACATATACAGCTAACTTAGCGGTTTAAAGGTTGATTTCACATATCACTTTGGTGTCGCTCAAGGATCGTCTCTTTTGCGCTCCGTCGGGATGAATCGTGTGCAGTAGATCTTCTGTTTGTCAGTGTAGCTGAGAGCAGGCATTTGCATGCATGATTTGAAATGGAAAAAGTCTGCGTGAATATTTTCATTATCAAAACCATTCTAAAACTGAACATTTATTGGAGTATTTTGCCATTTGCTACGAGTTTCGCCGTTTCCGCCTTTGAAACACTATCAATCAATTAAAAATAATCAATTAAAGCACTACAAACGATCGTAAACGGGCAGTAAATAGAGCAAGTATGGAAGATAGTAAAAACGCCTTCTTACCTACCAGTTACAACTCAATTATTAAATGCCGCCTAATGGCATTTCCATGTGTTGCAAAATGACGAAGACGACGCATTAATGTTCTATATGATAAATATGTGACTATCAAATGAAATCTAAACTTACCTTCCTTTATTTACTTCAATTCAAGACGCCTTAGCGTACGGTTTCAGTACGCTATTGATCATGCGCTGTTCAGTTCCAGCATATCAATCAATCAATCAATCAATCAATCAATTGATCCAGTTTTCAAGACCATACATTTTCACTGCTTTGATGAGACGAGATCAATTTCGAGGATCAACTCGATTTCTAGTGCCTATCGTTATAGCGAAACTGAGCCCTCTTCATGCGGACCAGTATACTTGCGTTAAATCAGATCTATTCATGAAAGGGCAATGAGAACTGCTTTACTTGAGTATTGATATGCTAAAGTTTAGCGAAAGCGGCTAGATTTGTGAATAAAGGATGCGCGAACACTATTCCCATTATAAGTCATTTACGGAAATCTCATTAACATCGTAGCAGGCGATTATTTTCGTCTTTATCAACTTTTCAAAATGATCTGTCCGCTAGAACGCTCAGCTTCAAAAGCTAACAGATAGGTATCCACGAGATATCCTCTTCACTCTTTGCACAACCATTTAATCCTTAATCTTAAATGTAACGTTGATCGAAGATCAATCACCATTCGTTCAGTTTCATCTTTTTGCCTTTCTTTATCATTAATTCACCAGAAATGAATCCGTTTCAATCAGCGTATATTCAAATCTGATGAGTGCGCAATAAATGACGAAGAATTTGATGCGGAAATCGCATAGTTACCCGAATACGATTCTTAATATTTTGGTTTCAGTTAGAAATGCTGCATTCTGCGCCAAAATAAACTTGCAGAAAGCAATCTGTGATAAATGTGTTCAAATTATTACACAAAATGAATTATTAAACTGAAGGAAGCGAATTTGTTTTGATAGTAACATTCAATAAGTACACTCTTTTTCATGCAGTCGTCACTTCAGCGATAAGTGATGCATTGCAATAAACTTCTATCAATCTCAAGTATTGAATTAATGCGTCTTATTTCCTAATGGTTCCAATCAGTTGTCACATTGAGAGTACTGCTTCAAGTTGGACGGTGATGTGCGCTTCGAATTTTCGTTCTATTGACGAACATTCGCATTTCAAGAATTGTTTTTCGATTTTTACCTTGTCGAATTTTTTAAAATTTTTTAATTTTCAATCAACTAATTCAATTTATTCAACCTTTTTATTTTAATCTGTCATTATTATTTTTTACTTATTCAAGCAATCGGTATGATGTCTGAGCGCTTCGCCTTTCAGCTGTATTATTGCTTGTACATATTTCTTAGTCGGCAATAAACTATCATATCATGCCTTGGTTAAATGAGATTTTAAGCGATCCTATTGCGTGACAGTGGATTATACGAAGAGGATGGAAGAATTGGCGGTCTGGTATTTTCGTGTCTTTGTTCTTAAATAGCATTTTTTACGATCGTTTTGAAAATCCGTTGAAAGCGCAACCAGATGGTCTAGAATTCAACGCACTATCAAGTGTACTTTCTCATCGTCGCGAATCTTGCGTGTTTCGACTGAGCGTGATTACAGAAAAATTACAGAAAAATGTTACAGAAAAATGTATTGCAATTGAAACAATTGCCTTTCAACAACTGATTATGATGTAGTCAGTGTACTGTAGGACTGGTCACTGAGACTGGTGTGAGGCGGGAATCCGCATTCCCGAGGCCGCCCGCATTCCCGAATCCTCGTCCCCATCCCAGACTTTTTTCGAGCCGCGGACATTTAGGATTTCACGGTCGTCCACAAAAAATTTCGTCTCCGATTTCACTCGTACCCGACGTTTTTTCTGTGGTCTCTGCACCACACTAAACGAGTGCGAAGTAGATCGTCTCGGAATCCGTATCACCATGATGCTGATGAAGGCAACAAATGTATTCAATCAACGAGTTCTTCAGATGCTTACTTTCACATCCAATTAAATTCTCACTGTTCAATTTATCAAATCCCACAGAAAAAGTGTTTTTTGACCGCATCTAATGTTCATCGTAATGCATTCAATGGAAATCAGTTAGTCACCTTGATTGATGAACCAACCAGCACTTTTAATGTCGCATTGTCAATATGCAATCAATTATTACCGCAACTTAACGCCCATTTGTACAAAGTACAAATTATCTCCACAAAATACTTCAGCAAGGAACAACTGATTGGCTTTTAATCAACTGATTCATTTCGGCAAAATATCTTGACATCGATAAACTGTACGCTGTCTTCCATCTCTAAGATACTCCAAGAATAGCGAGTAAAGTCAAAATGATAGATGCACAGATCGTTCAGCATATGATCATTTATTTTATTCGCAAGCGCTTTATCGGCTACATCTCTTAGATATATCTGTGCGATGCTTCGTGATTCGCATTAAACACGAAATACTTTCATGTTAGGATCACCAAAAACGAACGCAATTAACATTACACAATTAACCGAAATGAATCACTCAAAAACTTTCAGCCCACTAAACACTTTCCATCGATAGATTCAATTAAGGCAGACAACGTTTATCGAGGCAGAATGCTCGGCTGTAAGCTGCATCAACTTCCACATTTGGTCATTTTGCTTGGTCTACTATGTTGCTCTATCGCTATTGTGTCACCAGTATGGCAGGTACGTTATCCAGAATAAGTTTCTTGCAAATTTTCACTGGAAACAACGTTCATCCCTGCCAATTAGATCACCGAATCACTTGTGAAAAGGGCACTGTTTGTGGGGAACAACGCACATCGATGGGAATTATAATTGAGATTGACAGTTTTTTACGACTTCTAGCCGAGTTTATAAGCTTTCCTCATTTGCAAAGTAATACTGCAATCTGGCACTATTACTGCTTCCGGGCTTCTGATGAGAAGCCATGGATGACGATAAGGGTGCAAGATGGCGATTTTCAGGTGACAAGGATTCCAGGGGAGAATGTGACCGTTTATCATGGGTTATGGTTGGATTGCGAAAAAAGGTNTGAACTGAATACACACCACAAGTTATCGATCAGATTTCCCTTTTGATATCGTTGTAAATATCGTAGCTTTATAATGCTGATGTAGTCACAAGCTTGGCAACGAAGCGAAAGTCGTGCAAAAAAATTTCGGCTGTGATTTTCTGGCCTTCGGGTTCGTGGATTGTTTTCGCTTATCGTTAGCAGTCGAAGAAGCACACTCAACTATCACATGATTTGGTCGAAGTGTTGATTTCTTAGAGAATAGCGTAGTGAAATGCTCTCTTTGTAGACCGAATGAAGTTTTCAAGTGCGATTTTTCGTTTGCTCACATGCACGATGAGAGCGACACGAGCGTTCCACTGGTTTCGTCAACTTTCGCAGGTTATTGACTTGAAGTAATAGACTCGGAATTTTTGATTCAACAGAAGAATCTTCCAATAATCAATCACGTTTATTGACTCTTTGCATCGTCGTTCATCAATGCAAACACAAAATATCTAGTCTCTATTCAATGCTACTTTATATGTCCATCCGAAAGATTTCTGCATTTTTCATGCGATCACTCAACAGTCGCCTTCTAAGTAGATCACTTGGATCAACGGTCTTTGTCAAATCCGTTTGGATTCACGCATATCAAACATGTATGAACATATTTCCGAATGAATACTGTTCATGCAATACTCTATTATCGTTTCAAGCATTCGACAGTTTAAAGAAACATCGGCCACATAGTCTGTATTTCAGAATATCAGAATATTCTACTGGTTTTATTCCTTCTCGCGCAGCTGTTCGCCTTCTTCTTTTGTGTGCTGCATTTTCTATCTGGCTTCATCAAACTCGGATCATGTGAAGAATGTCTCTATGATGCAGCAGCCCTTTTAGCTGGTATGCCGTTCACATATTTTGCAGTATCTCTTTAGGATTTGTTGATCATTTGATGGAGAAAAGGCATTCGAATGCTATAGTTTCACAAAATCATGATGTGATTCTACTATCGGTCACATGTGATTCACGACCATAGTTATGAAGCGCCATCGGTCATAGACCATCGAGAGAATTTGAAGAAACAGTTTCAGTCAGATAATGATAAGTTGTTTATCAATGACTCTATCTGTGATATTCATTGTCAGTTGCTATTTTTAGCGTCTTTATGTACGGTTGGTTGCATAATTTTTTACATTGTCACTCGCAGAACTCAAGAAAACAGCTATTCGCCCGCACAAGTGGAAACAACTCGGAATGAGGTTAGATCTTGATTTTGGTTCGTTGGATATGCGCAGTGATTGTTATGATGCGCCATCGGTCACAGAGCATCAAGAGCATTCACAGAAACAATATTTCAGTCGGATCTCATCTCAAGCACAACGACGAGCATATCATTTTGGTTGATGGTCGTTGGTACGGTATTCTATACTGTAGTGGCAGCGATTTGTGTTGTCCTTCATAAGAGCTGTAAGAAAAACGCTCGCATTCTACCAGAACCGTTCTACGAAGCAGATGGGCAGAAGGTAAGAGAACACGCTTAGATCGGCGATTTTTCTGAGCCTTTTAAAATTTGCTATAATCGGTGACATATCGATCTTCTGGAGAAAACGATCAGTTGAACGTAATTGGACGAATAGAACAGAAACAATGTCTTCGCGGCTTCTGGAAATGCAAAGCGGGCGAATCGGAGAACGTCTAAATAGAACGTCTGATTCTAGCATCGCAACGAAAACTGAGCATTCGCCTGAGAAGGAATCAGTTACATGTAAGCAATTGCTAACTGTAATGTCACTTTGGGAGGAACTTTCAGCCGAAAAAGCTTAGGATGTGGCAAGAAGCACAGAAATTAATGATTTTGAATTTTCAGGGCGCTCGAAAGATCACATTCGATGCATCGAGTGAACGGAGGCGGTTCGATTACGATGACGATGGCTTCTCAATGCCGTCAGTCCGAAAGCTGACACCTCATCCGCGATCGTGTTCCATCATCACTACTGATTGATCGATTGTTCTGTTATGATTCCAATCCGTCTCATCCAGATTGCTCATTGATCTAGCGAGCAAAATGTTAAGCGTATATGATCATGCATCAAAATTAGGTGTGAAACTAATCACTGTGATATTCAGCGTGTATATGACGGAATCTAACCATTGCTCCTTAACCACAAAGCCGTCTTGTTAGCATGATATCCTCAAGAATTCTGTTGCATTTTATGGATCGTATACTCTGTCTGAGTGAGAATATTTCGAATGTTAAAGACATTTAAGAGTTGTCTGTAAAGTTTCATGAGATCAGAAAATCATATGACTGTTTTTGTGGTGATAAGAAATTTTGAACAGTAGTAGTGCGCTGTGTAATATCGTTAGAATTGTTTATGATGTGTACAAAACATTGCTGTTGTCTGTTCACAGTGTTTAAATGTCGCTTAACTGTGTTTTCATCAGCGACATCCGTAAATTTATTTTGAAAATAGGAGACATCAGTAAACAACGATCATGTCGTTAAGGTAATCGTGATCAATGAAGTGATTCAAAGTTGTAAAATGTTTGTATTGAGCATTGGAAAACATCGAAAGTGGACGGGATCGCAGAGTGTCGGCGATAGACGTGTTGTTTTGTCGTTTGTTCAGTTCATTTATGAAAAACTCCGAATGAGTGACATTTTACATTCGCATTCGTCGAGAAAATATTTATGCCCTTTGAATGAACGAGAAAATATGTTTATTGAACATGCACTTTTTTCGCACTGAATCGACAGCTACATCTGCTGATGTTTCAGCTGATGTTATGATGCAGCAATTGGGTTTTGAGTCATCTCGATTTTATGAGCTATGGTCATCCTAGATTGCAATTGAGCAATCGCAATATCTTTTGAAGTTTCTATTTTGATTTCTTGATGATTACATTCCGAAAATCACGTTTCCATATGGTGTGATTAAGGTGAAGAACAATTGAAAAAAGAACTCTTCGAAAAAGTGAACATTTGTATTTTTGATCACGACACAGAAGTTTGTTTTGTTTGGTTGCTAGTTGAAATTCAGGGTGTGCTGAAGAAATCAAATGAAGGTTAGACGTCAGCAGTACATTTTGTAATGTTCCTACACAGGTTCAATTATGATAAAGGCATCAGGTAGTCTTGTGTTTTATGGGAAAACAACTAAGAATGCTTCCAGATAAGTATTGATCAATATGCCGATAAAAATTGATACGCTGAGGTGGAAGTTACGCTGAGATGAATGCTGCAGAAAATTTATAGTACATTATATTTACAAGTTGGATGTATACACGAATACGAAATGGAAACATTTCAATAGAAGTGCAAAACAAATTAGGAGAGGATGTACATGGGAGCATGAAAGTATATCATATCGACTATAGGGAGTACATGGGGTATATACATGGATTATCGTAACAATTGGAAGCACATTTGATTTTGTGATCAGTTGCAGGCATTCGTGAATATTAATAATAGCAGATTTTAGCAGTGCCAATTTTGAAGCATCGATTATAGCTGTGTTTTGTGATCGGACAATTCATAACGCATTCGGCATTTGGTGATGCACTGGAGAGTTTGTATCCTCTCGAGATGTCGCATCGACAAACGTTACACTCCTGCTTACCGCATGTGAAACGATCGTATTGCATTGGTTTGCCGTGGCTCTCTTCAATCTTATCACCGTTCGAATGCTTCACTATCGGAAAGCAAATCGGTGTCTCATGGACATCACCATATATCATCGATACTTTACGCTCACTTATTCGACAGTTGTCCGACCTCAGAGGGATGCAAACACCTACAAAAGCCAACGAATTAATGTGAATTGATTTGAGGAATAATTTGAAAACAAATTCATCGCTTTAATTCGAGTGTTTATGATTTCTGCAATGATATTGTTAAGAAGCTAACCTCTTAATGTGAAAACATTCAGGAGAATAAACGAGAAGATTGTAAACATCTGAAAATCAACAAAATAAGATTATAAATTCTGACTGCATGGATGACACTGACATCTAGGAAACGGTAAGATCAAATTTGATGGATTAACAAACGACGACAACCACATTGGTCTTTATGCATAAAGATAGTGACCGTATGAACAACTCGTTGATTCGTCGAGACTAATCGAGAGCTATTATCATCGGATTCTGTTTACAATTAGAGTTTTGCTGCAGCTCAAACAAGTGCTCAAATGCCGTAAGTTTAAATAGGCTGATTCAATTGCTAGGCGCATTGTAACTGTTGCGAGACTATAGAGAAGTGTCGTTCAACATTAGTCCAAGGAGTAGTACCGTACCATTCAGTACATGTTTTAGATGGGATTAACTTAAATGCGAGTGGCAATCCAGAAATGTACACTGATTTTAGAAAATCAAATGGGACGGCGAAGTAAATGCATAATGATTATGTCATATGGATAGAACGAACGAATGAATTGAGTTGTTCACTTTAGATCAACTCAACGAAAACATCGGTAAAAGTGGAGAAATAGCAAAAATTGAATCAGTTGAAAACAACAACAATCAAAAGAAATGAACTCGAAATGTTCGTGAACAACTGACTTTCAGCTGTCTGATTCATGCAAATTGTCATGCGGCTCACTTTGTGTTTACAATCCAATTTTCTTCGATCAAAAATCAAAGAATGTCTTGCGATGACGCAATGTTTTCTTTTTATCTTCTTTCGCTACTGTTGTAACTCAATGCTATCAGCAAATTTCACTTGAAATGATTGCAAACTTACCCAGGCATTTCGAGATGAGTTATGCATATCTTCTGGAGGTTTTCCAGCTGATCATCAATCCTCAGGCATCCAACTTCATCCAGGGAAACTCTCTCCTCTCATTTGGTGCTCCTTCTCCCTGTAAAATAAACCCTTCTACCTCTCAGCTAATGTCACTGCATGACATCTTGAGTTAGGACTAACCAAATATTTTTCGATCATAAGCATACTGATCCTCATCATTTCACATGTTCCCAAATGAAGAGGAGATTCTTGATTGGTGGGTGATTTTAGGCCATCGTGATGGATTCGAGATATCCAATCGGGGCACTCCTCTCCGTTTGAGAATACCGCTCCACATATGTCATCCTTATTGATGGAACTTTCGTGGAAGTTAAGCAACAGTTGAAATCTAAACGTCAGGCTGAGCGTAGTTTGCCGCGATTTACAAAGGTTGAAAAGGCGGATGGATTCTTTGAGAATGTTGACCAGCAGGGTTGAGGATAGAAGCAGGTTAACCCTCATCATTGTATTTTCCGGAAACAACAGTTTACAGCTGTCTTCAAACATGAGCTTTCTTTACTTTGTTTGCGTCATTTTGATGACGTCTTTGTATTATGTTTTGTTTTGGGATCAGCCCAAATGTTATTCGATCTGAACGATCATCAGCTTCGTTATCGGTTTCAAGTGCAAATCTCAGTGGACGTGATAATATGACTAGAGTACATTTGTCCTGAACTATCAGTTATCGATGCTGAACATGATGACGGTGATAGTGAGAGTCTTTAGAAAGTGCTGATCAGTAACCTCAACAGTTGTTGGAACATAGTGCAAAATTTTGAGCTATCATGCATAGATTCTGACGCAACCAAAATGTTTTACTCTGAAATCAAGTATTACGCTGAATCAGAGGAAAACATTTTGGCTAAATTTTCAGAAGTATTACGCTGAACTGCTAAGCAGCAACAGAAGGAGTGGACAGACTCTCAGTTATGACGATTCAGTGAACTGAACACTCTACAATCTCCATATTGATATGATGGAAGAGAAAAATTACTGCAGTTGAATACTGCGATTTGCGATCTATAAGGAAAACTTTCACAAAACCTTGCTTATGAGTAAATAATATTGTATGGGTAACGGCTGAAAATCACCCACGAACAGAAATTGAAAAGAATTCGGAAATAAGCTTGAGTGAATTTATTGGATAGCCGAGTAACTGCTCGAGAAGAATTTTTTTAATTTTTGATCAGCATAAATTATCAATTCTCAATTAGCTGTATGATTTTTGAGGTCTGCATTTGTTGCTTCCGAGATTGGCGGCTTTGCAGTAGGAGGTGTGTTCATTGATAATGGCGAGGGAGTTATTTCGACATGATTCATTCGGTTTTTGACTATTTGACCGTTGGTATTTCATTTGGACGATGACAGCAGAATATGAATGGTGAATGATGCGAATTTATGATTCGGAAGGTTTGAATAAAGACCATTGAAGCATTTAAGGTATTTTGATACTTGCATTCTAAATTCAGTTTGAATACCACATTGCGCTTAAACTTCAGTCGGATATCAAAATCAAGCAGTATTTGGGCAGACTTGAGCCGTGCTAGGTTGTTTAACATAATCAAGAAAGCATTGAAATTTTATTGAACTTTATTTCATCGTAATTTGAAACAATATCGTTGAGAGCTATCAAAGTAAACTCTTTGCCTAATTACAACATGAATAAAGGAAAATACAAATACATTTCAAGTTCAAGGCATACTACTGAACGAATGGTCTCGTTTGAATGTCTAGCACAATTCAGGACTTTTGCTTTTAAGACAATCCGAAGAGATATATTTGGTTATTGGGCATTGCTGCACGCAGTGTGCGTCGTCACCTTCGCTGGAGAGCTTGTAGCCACGTTCCACATCGCATCGACATCTCTTGCAGATCAGTGCTTCACACTTGAAGCGATTTCGTTTCATTGGACCGTTTTGAAGGGTTTTGCGTTGACCACTTGGCAACAACGCTACCGGATGACAAATCGGCACATCATGAATATCTTTGTTGTTCAGGGTCACCAGTTTTTCGGACGACTGGCAAGTCACTGAAATTGAGTACAACTTTGGAGTGAAAATAGCGAGTTGTGCTGAACGTTTCGAATGAATATCATCAATTGATTTGTTTATGAATCGCTACCTTTGCAGTATCCTCGATGAACAATGAACAGAAGCACTGCCGAACACAACAGCTGAAATTAACAACAGTTTTAACACAAAGTTCTTATTTTTTGCGTTCAATACTTTTTATTTTTAGAAATGTATCAGTAACGACGCATTACTTTGATATGTTAACGACGCACTGAATTTTAAAATCAAGGTAATCGAAGTATAAAAAGGCAATATGGAATTCTAAGAAGGCAGTGTGAAGTGTCTAATTGATGTGAAGATATTTCATTCCATACAATCACGCAATTAAATGCGTTTGAAAAACTGAATTACCGTGATAGTAACACTCTTCATGTTATATTGCCACGAAATTTGATTCGCCTGAAAGGATAAAGTGAATAATTCATTTGATCACGGTACACTGATCATGCAAAAGAAAGCGATTAAAGTCAGATCACCTCGCGAAACTTTTAAAATACTCGCAGTGATATTTTCTAATCGAAGTCTCTTTGAGCATATGATACAGCATATTTTGGTATATAGCTTAAATTCCAAGCAATCGAATCAATTTTTTGTCGAAGATCAATAACGTTAGGTAAAGGCGGATTGTCACTCATAGTTTTACAGGCTCTAATGCAAAACCTAGATAGAACTGATAAGAATGTTTCAAGAAAATTCTTGAGACAGCAAGCAAACTGCATTCAAACAGAATCGATACAAGTAATCCTTCAACTGTGAACGGCTCAGACTACATCTTAGCAATCAATACATCCCATTATCATTAACCTAATCAATTCATCTTTAACTTCTATCAAAACCAATTGATATCGTCATAAAAACAATGCTTTAGGGGTGTTCCACTCAGCACGTCGATAGCCAAGAGCATTGGTTTTACTATCATTCAACAACTCCACCTCAAACAGCTGATCCATATCGTATTATCAAATGAACTGAGCAAATTGATTTCGCACGTCAAGAACATTAACGATTGCTCGTTAACAAATTGATCGTTAACAGCTGATCGTGAGCAAATTGAAATTGATTTCTGGAATCATCAGCTGAACTCTATGCGTCATAAAATTTGCCGACGAAATCAATCACAGATAGCAATTCATGGGAGAGTGCTGAATTGAACTGTAAGAAGCATCAAATGATAGACAGCATAAGTCGTGAGCTATTCGTGCCTGGTGCGACTAAAATAAGTTATGCACCATGCATCAACTGGAGAAGGAAATGTGATCGAAATCACTGAGTCAGATCGATGATGTTATTGGAAAATCACGAGAAAACCTATCGGAAGTCCGAAATGTAATGGTGAGAAAGTGGACTCATCATACGTAACTGCTAAATATTGGTACATAAACGTTGAATGAACAGTGCATGAAGCCGATCGAGATTTAGTCAAGACAAATCCGATGAGAAGAATGTGATAAGATCTCGAGATTATCCAATGAAGCAGTGCAAATGTTCCGTATTTTTAATCTAATAGATTGATCTTCCCATTTGCGCACACCTGCTAATCATGTTTTTGCTGTCGCATACCTCACAAAAACTGGTTTTCAACTGCGAGCCGATCATACACAATCATGCACAAAACAATTCCACGGATGCCGGCTGTTTTGCGATCGTCTCTTCTCCTCAATAAAATTCTCATTTTTATGGCCCAATAAACAACCGTTTTCAGCATTCCATTCAGATGTGACTGGTTGTTGTATGTGTGTGGACAACGAGAATTTCATTGAATGTTTTGTTGGTATTGTTAGTTGCCAATTGTGCGTGTTTTCATTCGAAAATCCTTTTAAAATCAATGATGAGTGAAATTAAGACGATTCGCGTCCAGACGATTCATTCATTCCATTCTCAGTTTTCTTTCACTATAACCAACTGTTTAAGCATGGAATATCAACCAATCTTATCATAAATGTATAAATTAATTTATTCTCATATTCTCGCATTCATTCAACCTCAGGAACGATCGTTTAGCGACAATTTCTGGCAAAATCGATCGATGATCGATAACTCTGCAACCGTAAATCGATCAGAATCGCTTGCAGAGATCAACACTCGCAGCTGCTGTATCTCCTTTGTCAAAACACTAATAGTAAGATGAACTAACTGCATATAATAAATCTCTAATAAATCTCTCTTAGAGTACATGCATATACGAAAACGTTCGTTCGTTCATTGCACGTAGTTCGAATAAGGAATATTATGCAAATGCGCAGTGCAACATCAAACGATCGCGTTCTGAGAACAGCCACTAGACAGCCGGGTTCATTCAGTCATCGCAGTCCATTGTTGTGCCTATATCCATCCAAATGCCGAAAATATCAGCGGTTATCCTCTGAATACGCAACTATTATATCGTGTCCTTGACAACGACGCCGAGCCGATCAATGACACCTTTATTACTATTCCTTACATGAGCGTTGCAGCACACACACACAATTACGTTCATAACCATGTTTTGCCAGTTCATTTGGTATTTACCTCTCTCTTACCTCTTAAATTTACCCTTTAAAATCACTCGCAATCTCTTCGATGAACAGCCATGATTAATGGATGTGTGGCCGGCGTTTCGATGCAGAAAACCTCCAAAAACGATTATTCCACATCAAATGACTGAACGGGTGGTTGGTCTGGCGATTCTTTGGAGAAAAAAAGACTCGCCTGTTAAGTCAACTGTTTGTTATTGGAGTTCTTTCTTGTTATGGGCGCATATGTTGACTTGCGCTCTTATAATCAAAATTTTCGTCTTGTTCTTCGTGCAACATCTGTTTCGTGTTGAATCATCCAATCGAATACCGAACCGAACACCTTGTCGTGCTGCTTCTGTACATCAAAGTTGTTAGCTTTGAGTTTGCTCCTGTCTGATCCAAATGAAAGACAGCTTGATAATTCGGCTGCAAGTTCGCTTGATGCTTACTTGCTCGTGTTTTACGGGTGAACATCTCTAACCTGAAGCAAACATTAAATCTAAACCTGTTCTCAACTGCAGTTTTGTTTTGTCAAAACACCGACTAATTTGATCATATTGAGCTTGCATGATAAGGTTATTTCAGTGTAAATAAACATTTTTTCAATTGAACAGTTCCCACGATTAATTTCTCGCGAATCATTCGTCACTTACTGTCATAATAAGTATGCTCGTAATTGCCTGTTCCATTCTTGAACTCGCATCATTTCTCATTAAGTTTCTAAGTGACGATCAACGACCTATCCAGATAGATCACTCGATGTTTTACTTTTTCATGAATGCAATTTCAGGGAACTAAATCCTTTCTGTTCTTATCACCAAATTCATCGACTGCCAGTCTAAAACTACGAATTCAAAAGCATCCTCGGGGTGCAACCTTTTGGGCTTTTGCCTTCTCGCATTGAAGGAAGGTGTTTCACCGCTATTGTGACGATGGTTGATCCAAAGAAAACACTTCAGATTCCATCGTTCATTTTTGCATTTATTGGAACGGTTCTGAATTTCGTTGCGATAGCGACACCATCATGGCAGGTAAACATCTGCAAATGACTAAATTGTATATTTTCAACTCATAGAATGTTATGTGATTCAAATGAAATCGAAACCACCTTATAAAAAGAATGTTATTGCGCCATTTTAATCAAGCACATATGATTCATGTGTCCGTCAAGAAGCGTATAATTATAGGTTGTTTACGCGAGAGAATTGCAACAGTGGATTAAAAGTGGTTTGTGGATGCATTGTCAAACCAGGTTAGTTAATTGATTGAACGAATGTTGGTGTATGGGTGGATATATCTGCATTGCGGATATTAGAATGAATATACATCTCTCATCGAAACCGTCATTGTTTAATTGCATTCAAATGCTTATTTGAAGACCATCTGGGATGCTTTCGTGCACATACACATTCACCAAGAACGACTACGATTTTTATACGAGTGCCGATCTTATCAATATTAGGACACCAGCATTTTTTGGTGAGATTTTACGATTTGCAAATGTTCAAACTATTTTTCGACTACGAAGTCAGCGTAGATTGCAATAACTGTTATTCAGATCTGATTGTCTTGAAAAGTCGTCTCATTGAAGAGGCTTATGCTCTGAAGAAAGTTTCAATCATGATAAGTAAAACTAATGAAAATCCATCATCTCTGACCAATAATAGAGGAAGATGTGACTTTTGCAAGCATCACAAAATATCCTCATTAGATCCTACTATCCGAAACTGATCTCACCTGATCCATCGATAAGCATTCAATGATTCCAATTGATACTTTAGAGTGGCAACACAATTTGTTGTATGTGTTATTGGGTGCACAATTTATCGCTCAGCTCGCATTGATCTCGTTTTGTGTCTCGCATGCGCATTCAGCGCATCGAATCGCCTCGTGGTTTTTTTCTGTGGCAATCGCAATTTCAGGTTAGCCAACTGATCAGTTTCATCGCTGATTGATGTCTTACGTTCATTTGCTCCTCCGAATCTTCCATCCAATTTATTGTTGCAGATTAAACTCATTCTTACATTTTTTAATCCTAATACGTTCGGTAATCTAAATGCGCTCAATACAATTCTCGCTAAGTGAATCCCAAAAAAGTATTGTGCTATGGAATTCTCAGCTTGACAATATGAATGCATTTCAGTTTTGATTCATTTCTGTGCAAATGTAGCCTTTCAAGTTCTTGCACATATGGTCGAATACCGATTTTACCACGTCAGTGTCAGCGGTATCTATGAGGTATGATTCAGGCATCCATATAGTGATGGATCTTTCCAGACAGCTCGTTGTTCATTCATGTGTGTGTAATGACTCGATTGAGTGGCACTTGAAAGAACCATAATGTACACAGTAGATTCTTAATGCTTACCGCGTTTCGGTTTTGATTTCAAGTGGATATTTCAAGATTTTCACTATTTAAATGAAAATTCAATATCACGAATGTACGCAATTCAAGTTTCATCAAAGTGTTTGGTATACTTTTGTGATGAATGATCCAGATTCGAACATTTTAGAAGCATGTGGGCTATTCGTATTATTTACATCTGTTCGGCACATTTGTACTGTTGCTTGCGTTGATCTTGTCGATTGCGTACGTCATAATGGATTATCGCTTGGAACGAAGTAACGCATCGTTGCGGAGTCAACTCGGAGCACCTTTCAATCCCTATCAGGTGAATGAGACCTCAGCCATGGTATAGTTTTGCTATTTTCGTACCTGAGTTGTTCCTACATCACGTTGCTGTGTAAGCAGACAATTTTTTTAATCGTTAGATGCACTTTCTGGTGCAAAGCGGACCATCACAATGCAAT